TTACGTTTTCGCTAAGCTTATATACTGCTCAACATAAACATGCTTGCTTGCAGTTTTCCTATACTTCATTTTAATTTCTCAGGAAAGTCTGTTTTTCTACTTTTTTTTAAGGAAGCTTGGTTTATTTAGAGAAAAATCATACTGAGCAAATATATCTTCCCCATTCAATGATTTATCTGCCTTAACGGAGTACCCAGGGCAACGTTTTGATAATATAACACTTTTATCCTTTTTTTCTGGCACTCATTGATGTAGCTACAGCTGAAAACATATATGAAAAGTGGCGCTTCGTAGAGTCTTTTACAGCATATTTGTTTTTTACATCCCTCTAGACGGGATGTATTATGTCTTCAAATAAGTGGGCGTAGGGGGACCAATATGATGTCTATCATTTTGTTTTCAATTTACAGCCTGTTATGACTAGTTAATGGCACACAATGTTCGGTTTAATATCGTTAGAATCTATCAAAACATTTACCTCCAATTATTTAAAGAAAGCTATGATTATGAGTATATTTCATCATTATTGTGGTTTTCATAAAATATGATCCAAAATAGTTTAAATCCAATAATTGTATCACCGTTCATCTTCAAGTGTACGAGAACGAAAAGTATAACACGGGAAATGTCAACGATTCGTTTACATTCCCTCACGTTTCAGTAATTCACAATGAATTATAGTGACAGCAAAACGGTAGCGGTACAACCAGATGCTACGTTCCGATAGCTGGACAGGCTTTTCACTGATATATATGTAACATCGATTTTTCATTACGTTATCTGTTAAAATTTGTTTTTATATCGTTAAGGCTTCCACAGGCTAAATCCATTTCTGTCTCGTTTCATCGCATGAATCTGTGCTTTTCATCTTAACTATATTTTGGAAAGTTGTGTCTTCCTCTTTTATGACATCCAGGTACAACACAACAGGTTGAATACATAATAAAAGCAATTTCATCAATTTTAAGCTCACCTGTCAGAAGGTAAGGTGAGTTTTTGACATAGCACAACATTTGTCTGTCGTTTGAGAGACACTTAACTCGTTCAACCATAAACCGTTCTTTTTGATAACTAAAAGGCATCATGATATAACATCAGAAGCCTGCTGGGATAAAACCCTATTATGGTTTTTTTAATTCATGACTTTTCCAATTTCAAGGTCACAGGGGTCAAAGGTTTTACAACCCTTTACGCTTCTTCTTAATAACTCGGATGATATTTGGCCAGTAGCATCATGAGATAAACAGTTATCAAATTCGTTCAAATAAATGTCATGGACCAACTTTAAAGGCCACAGGGAAGAAATGTGTTAAAACCTTTAAACAATATCTAAAAGCAAGAGGCACAAGGGCCATGATATTTTGCCACTAGTTTGCTGAATACATGACCCATTCAAGGTCAAATGGGTCAAATTATTTAGCCAGAACCAAGATGCCTAGGGTAATTTGACATGTAGCATGCTGTAAAGAATGAATATAAGTTTATACCAATGAATGCCTTTGAATCATTTTTTAATGTCACACGAGTCCAAGATATTTAATTCTTTTAATGATTCTTCTGAATGTAATATTGGGCCTGAAGCATACTAGGGTAAAACACTTTACCTTTGTTTAAATACATGACCTTGGCTTAATTTAAAGATTGCATAAATGAAATCAGTCAAATTCTTCCAGCAATGGTCCAAAACGTTAACAGTAATTCTATTTTTCTATTTAAACTGTAGTTTTAATACATTTGACGTTGAAAGCTTTTGAAAGACGCAGATGTGAAGTGTGTTTTGTCCACTGTATAGAATAGCATGTGAGTATTGCATGTAATGTGGGCCCTTGCTTTAACATAATCTCACGCTTCAGTTATTCACAAATGAGCATAAAAATAGTGATAAAACCAGATGCTAAAGGTAGATAGCAGAACTGATTTACTCCTGTTGTTATTTTCAGCTGCAGTTACGATAGATATCTGTCAAAAATGTGATATCACATTATTTTCCGTTTGGTATTTTAACAAGTTCATGTTTATGAAATAAGCTAAGGTCTATCATCCCAGAAACCACTTTTGCAGGTTTTGCGTAATATTAAGCGACATAATTTTTCCTAATCTATATTCAGTGTAAATACTTCGTTACAATATCCTTATATGAAATTGAAAAATTAGAGCTTATGTGGAACATAACATATACAGATAAAGACTTACCAGTGCGAGATGAATGGTAGGAGACAACATACATGTTCTGACTGCGTGACTGAGAATTCAAGGAATGAGGAGCTGGATGATATGTACAGGGTAAAAATATGACAAAAGCAGTATACGCCCGCTACATGACATTTGGACTCGTAAAACAAAGTTCCATGCTTGCAATCTTTCAAGTGCATTTATGAAACAAAATAAATTTAGATATGACAAGAATTTGTAGTATGTTACTCAGTAAATTTAATTTGTATCTGGGATGTTTTGTAGTTTCTTCACTAGCCAAAGGAATATAACGCCATTTATTATTTAATAACTTTATTTCTTTTAACGGCATAGGCCTTTGCCAATTTATCGAATCACTGAAATGTCATTACGTCACTTTCCCCATATTCACGCTCATCTGAAACAATTAAACCAGTTCTTAATACTGCTCTTGTACAGGCAATTCTTTCTCAATTTCAAATTTAGCCTTGTCTTTATATCCTATACATATTCACAAAGGTTCATCAAACTACGCTCATATTTAATAACGTTATTGTGTTAACACAGTCGACATACCAGGGAAGAGTTAAGTAATTAATTATATACTTATTTTACTTAACTTCGCACTAACCCTTACTCAAGGTATAATAAACTAGCTTATTAAACTTAATCGAAGGTTTGCGAAAACCATATTGCGGACAGACAGAATGACAGAAGGATGAGCGCTCCCAACACCTTAATACGTCTTGTAAGGATGTTGACCTATAACAGTTTCTACTTCTTCTGTACTCATTGTGCACCTTAGGACATTAACCCATCGCTCCATTTTAAGGACGCTTGAGTAAATACTTGCAAATGCCTCGCTTTGGCCTTGAAACTGAACCTTTCGCCTACTTGAGGAAGGTAATGTTTGTTTGTCCCCTGATCGAGACAAACTAAAGCCATAAACATAGAGATCCCTTACAATTCCGTAAAAGGAAAGGCCTACTGCATCCCGCTACACATTGTCATAAGAGGCGACTTACGTGGGGACCCCCTGCTAGGTTTTTCTTCTGTGTTTTCTACCTAAGGGACATTGATCTGCTGCCCCGTCGCAACACTTGGGGCCTATATATCTATTCCTCACTTCCCTAGACTATCCTGTCGGTAGTGTTTCCCTAGACCCCAGGCTTTATATGACCTCAGCACTTGCAAGGACGTTACACCCCAAAATCAAAAAATAACATTGGCACTAGCTTCTCTGCATTCAGCTTTAAATAGGCAAAGAGGAAGTCTGTTAAGTCTTAAATCTTTACAACACGTCATATTTCTCTCAAACACGGGGAAATAGAGGAAACAAATATTCGATAGTATTGTACTGCAAAGTGGCTCCTGAAAATAAATTTATAGACTAGCAGGTGTCTATATTGGTTATGTGATATCGACGCCTGTCTGCATTATCTGTATTTCTGCGATTTCTATTGTACTGCAAACCCAACGGTAGAAAGGAAAGAACGAAAGTAGGAAAGTATTGCAATTGGGGCAGCAGTTCAATGTTGGTCTCCTCCATGTCCTCTTCGGGGAGAATACTGCTGAATACAGAAGAATTGAAGATTTTATTTTATGTCACCTACTTAGGGACATAAAAACAATCAAAGCAAAGTAAGGGCACCCATTGCCGTATCCTTTCTACCTTCTTACTTGATTTTTGTTCCCCAATGCCATACATTTTAGTAATTGTAATTGGCTCTATCACCGGTCTAGGACAAATAAACAGTCAGTACAATTCGTACCCATTGCTCTGTAGTTGGCATTGGGATTTTAATCGGTGGCTGTGAGGTCTGAATAAATAGTGTCAGAACCATTCAGGAAGATTGGTGTCGAAATATTCGGGTAGCCCGGTGTTAGAGTGGTTAAGGCGTTTGTTAACGAGCACGGGCTTTCCACCACTGGTTTCAGGGATCGGGGCCTACGTGTGCAGTTGCCATGTACAGACAGTAGGTCGGTGGATTTTCTCCGGGTACTCCAGTTTTCGTCGAACGCCCATACCTGACTCATCCTTATATAACCATAGCTATTGATAGGAACAAACTACAATATGAAATTTCTCGCAACTTTCCCAGTGTCATAGAACGTTTAAAGTAACCATAAGAAGCTCCAACATCGTGGATACCGTCCTGCTTAACCTAACCTGTAGTAAGGACTTAAACTTTTATGCCACATTCTACCACTTGATGATGTCACGGAATATTTCACTTCAAATATGAGCCATGTGTAAATGGTCTTTACGGATTCGCTTTGTTAATAGATGGCGCAAGGTGTATGCGTATTTTATCTTTTGTCCATGCATCTCAGGCGAACTACTGCCAATGGTTTCGTCAATGTTAATTGCGCGCGGCATGTTTTGAGAAATGATAACCAAGCATTGCGTAACAAATGTTTGCACAACCAAACTATGTATATAGTATGGTGGAATATATAGCACTGTCTTAATTGATTAGGTTTTTTAAGCATTTTCCCTCCATCATTTACCATTTCCCATAATCCTTCTATACATGTTTTTGTTCAATACCACCCCTGCAGGTTTGAAATTTGGAAAAGAATATACCTTCTGTTACCCACTCTCATGTTGGAAGAGATTTGTTTCGGTCGCTTTTGCGTCTCTAAGTAAAGGGCACAAAACCAATTTCCTCAATTCTGCAGAGGGATCCCACACTATGTGCCTTTAACCACATACTCTGGGTAACAGCAGGTATTTTCTTGTCTCAATCCGAGAAACAGATTGGGATCCTCTGCTCCGCTTAGAATATTTTCAAAGTTTAGAATAAAATAGCAGTTAATGCCTGTAATGACCTGTCCCTTTAATATATAACATATAAACCAGTAATACAGTAGGTAAAAGTCAGCAACTCAATTTATAACGTGGTTGTCATTTTTATACATATATCCACGGAATTTTGTCCAACATGACCACACACAAATTATCGGATGGCAGATTTAACAATATCTCTCATTTTGTTCAAAGTTGGAAACAAAAAAAGTAACATTTAAAATTCAGAAGTATAACGTATATGTATAATCGTGCTGCATATCAATTTGAATCTCATTAAATAATGATGATGAAAATATAATGCTGAATGGACGATTTCAAAAGCATCCGTGTGTTCCAAAATATGGTTCCATTTCTTTAAACTTTATCAAAGTGCCATGTTGGCTCAGTTCAAGATTAACCATAACAATTCAGATGTTATAAATATGATTGTGTACACCAAATACTTTTTCGGTAAATGGTTTTGTTAATCAAGTACATGTTCGCTGATGGATTTTGTACATCAAATAGACTTTAAATGAATGACATATCAAGTAGCTTCTCGGTGAATGATTCTGTCCACACAAAACACTTTGGGTTTGGGATTTTTACGGTGCGGGGAGAGAATATCCTACTTCATTGAAGAGACAAAAGTGGATCAGCAGCCCCAATTCGATGAATATTTTTCTTTTTTCTCATTTGTTTTAAATGTTTGTTTCCTTAGGCACCCGTCTTCATATCGATTGCGAGGACACAACCCCCATACAAACAAGTAAAGCTTCATTTCATAACCGTTTTGTTGATATTAGTATTTCATTAATACATTAGTGAGTGATATTCCGCTTCGAGTGATTATGAGTATTCACCTAAGAGCAAATTACCGAGTAACAGTAAGATTTTCTCCCACCTACCATTAGGTTCAAAATTGTTCGTTGAGTTTCTTTCTGGCTTATCCATAAGAATATTTTATAGGAATTAAAATAATAAAAGATGGGTTTCAGTAATCAGTAATAATATCCGATGGGATCGGAAAGTTGAGGGACAATCGGTATTGCATGGCCACATTAGATGACTAATGCAAGGCCCCCTGAGGAATCGTAGATTTTATCTAAAACTTCTCTTTGGGTAAAGATTGATGATCTAAAGGTTGTAGTTATGGCGATAGTTTTGAAACATAGTCTTGTTGACCATGATCAGTATCATCAGTCAATGATGCGGTAAACTACCTCTAGGGTGAGAGGTAACAAAACGGGTGCCCTATCTACTAAGTAAGAATTGCTTGTGTGATTAAGCATTGCCTTAAAACCAATACGCATGCAAGAGCTCCTGTCAATAAGATAATGGTTTATATACGTTTAAAACACAAACCAACATGTTGTATCGTAGAGACCTGTTTATCAGACTCCAATAAATACATACATCTATATGCACTGCTTATTTGTTTTTCATTATTCCAGCTCTGCTGGAGGAGTTGAATACTTTTAAACTTCTTCACAACAAGTCGTGAACAATATTGAAATGATTTCTCTTTAACATGTGTGTTAAAACATCTCACGTCGTTGTTTCATAAAATTGTAATGTTTCAATGACTTAAGCAGAAATATAAAGACGGTTATTGTTGCTCATTGGTGCTTTGGAGACCTACAAAAACTGTCCATGCCCTTATAGAATGACAATTCGACACCAAATCGCGAGACCGTAAAGATTTGACTGTGTCACATCAGCTTGAATAAACTCAATAAGAATGATGGTTTGTTCTGAAAATTAACATCATCCATTTTGATTGAGTCTTTTTCATTATTTTCTGTATATATAAACAAAAACACTTATCCGTCCATAATACTATTACTCCTGGTTTAAGTCACATCACTGCTGTGGTTTGTAAGCCACGGTTTATTATTATAAAGGTTCCCTGGATTTCTTTCCTATGCACCCATTCCTGGTGTAAGTGTTGTCACTAGTGCTCCTCCGGAGTTGCGTCTCTCCAGTGTTGTAATTGTTTTGAATGGTCCTCGAGAGTTCCATCCCTGTAGCTAAAACTAACATCAAGGTTCCTCTTCAGTTCAATTCCCGTAGCTAAAACCAATATTAATGATCCTCGAAAGTTTCATCCCCGTAGCTATAAATATCATCATTGTTCCTCTAGAGTTCCAGCATAATCAAGATATAACTAGTAACAATGTTCCTCGAGAGTTCCGTCCCCTATGTTATAACTAGTATCAATGTTCCTCGAAAGTTCCGTCCCCTATGTTATAACTAGTATCAATGTTCCGCGAGAGTTCCGTCCCCTATGTTATAACTAGTATCAATGTTCCTCGAGAGTTCCGTCCCCTATGTTACAACTATTATCAATGTTCCGCGAGAGTTCCGTCCCCTATGTTATAACTATTATCAATGTTCCGCGAGAGTACCGTCCCCTTTGTTATAACTAGTATCAATGTTCCTCAAAAGTTCCGTCCCCTATGTTATAACTAGTATCAATGTTCCGCGAGAGTACCGTCCCCTATGTTATAACTAGTATCAATGTTCCTCGAGAGTTCCGTCCCCTGTGTCGTTACTATTGTACTGTTTACTGAGTTTATCGGCGACAACAAGTTCTGTAGTATCAGACATTTCTACAGGTTTGTTCTTGATAAAACGTTTGTTGACACCATCACCCTACAACAAAAACAAATACTGCGTTAATTTTACATGAATCCACATCAGCAATTGGTTTGTAAAATTCCTTCAATATTTCTCAAAATATTTCAACATTTCAATGTTGATATCTAATCATTTCCATGCCAGCGCTTTCTTCATATACTTGAAATATCCAATATATAATTACTGTTACAAAATAAAACAAATAATACCAAAACTTACATGACTCCAATATTATATTGATTATATTAATCTTTTCTCTCAAAAGTATCTTAAATCGTGACTTTAAAACAAGGCTAAATGGTATAAAATGGTATTATTATGTACGCAACATGTTTTTATGTTTTTTAAGAAGTGGACACGAACGAAAAACACCGCAATATTCTGTACCCATATTATTAGATGCCTCTTACGATCATGCAGCATGGTATAGGACGTTTATTTCTTCTTGAAGGTTGCAGTGTATTGATCAGGAGAAGTTAAAGGAATTTCTCTCAGTGGGTTTTCGTGGTCACTTACGTTTCGTATATCTAGTATGTTCAGTAATACTCCACAGGCTACTGACAGGACGGATACAGCCGTCATCAACATAAGGGCGTTCTGGTAAGCGTGGATCTGCTCTCGGTGACCTCGACTGAAGATAGTACAGTGAAACATATCTACCACAGAGTCAAACTTAACCTAAAGTCAATACCTGGACATCATTACCTTTTCAGTAAAATGAGAAAGAATATTACGGTAATAAATAAATAAAGGTAATTACGATAAAGTCACTTCTAAACATTTAAGAGGAACTCTAGTCCAGAATGCACTTGAAAATTGAATCTTCTTTGAAGCATTGGGATTTATCGTCCTAACATCAGCTATACGCATATATAGAAGGTGACACCCAAAGGCTCCTTCCGGTCATATCATTTTGATAAAGTAGGGAAAGAAGGGCAGTGTACAGCAGATATTTTGATTTTTCCGTTTTCCCTTAAGCAGATTACAAAAGAAAAATCCGACAGAGAAGCATTAGCTGTCTCATTCGAACAGATTTTATTCCACAGGAAACTTAGTTTTGGAATGGTTTATTATGTACAGCGTATTCTAACTGTAAGTCATTCACAGAACGTGCATTCTTTTGTTTAATGTGTGTATGTGTACTGGAGGCTGTATGTTGGTGTATTTGCCTCTTTACGATGGCGCGGATCTAACGCCCACTTCAGAGCGCTATCTTACTGAAAACAAACATACTGAATGTACCAAGCACAGAGCTCCAGCCTGTCACATTATACTGACAACATACTGAATGTACCCAGCACAGATCAGCCTGTTACATTATACGGACAACATACTGAATGTACCCAGCACAGATCAGCCCGTTACATTATACTGAAAACATACTGAATGTACCCAGCACAGAGCTCCAGCCTGTTACATTATACTGACAACATACTGAATGTACCCAGCACAGATCTCCAGTAAATATAAGTTACTTGGAATTCTGTATTGTTAACACCTTGTTATTTAATCTTGAATGTTAATACAGCATATTACGAATGTATTATTTATAATTATAATTGTATTTATATTATATTATATTTTTAATTGTAGATTGTAGAAGGATAAAGGTTTTGTTGAATCGTGCATTTTCAATTGTGACCTTTATTCATTGTATTGTCAAATAAATTCTAGCTCAGCACGAAACATGTTACATGAGTGAGATCTATCGGCGATGATAATATCGTAATATCAATTGAACTTAATTACAAATAAAATATTTCTTAGAAAATAGATTATCAATAACAACACCATGGAAGACACCTCCGTCTAAATATTTTTCAACATATAATGATTTTTTTCTTCTGTGATGTCATTTCCATTTTTGTGAATTTCTTTCTTTTTGACTGAAATAGACAATTTTCAGTAAGTATACTTACTCGGCCGTATCCTCTACAATAGAGCCAACTGCTAGATTCATAAGACCTATTGAAAATCTCATAACAAACACGCCTATACCCGCTCCAGTCCCGAACACAGCGGGAGGTAGCAAGTTAATGGTTACTTGCCACATTATAATCTGAGAATCAAAAAAGAAACATAGGTTAATTTACAACATTGATGTATATGTGTAGTCATGGTATTTTCCAATGAACAACATAGTAGTTAAATTACCAAAATAAACATTTTAGTCATATCATGTCATTTCCTAATGAAAACCGGTTGGGCTAACTGGTATGCCCTCCAAAACCCATAGTTATATGGATACAAATAATTAAGCTTTATGCAGACGTTAATTCAGTTTACAACATTAGACTGGAAACTGCTCCAACAGCCTAATACTTACAACATCAAATGTATACACCGCGCCGATAGCCACTGTGAGAACGACTGGCGGTATCGCTGGACAGTAGGCCAGCATCAGATATATTGGTATACTGAATGTTGTTACAAATGTGGCTATTAGACCATTGCATTCTATCCTTTTCTGCAAGAAAACAACATATTTTAGTAAAAACATGATGAAAGAAATTTCATTGAAATAATTCACTTTTTAAAACCATTTTATATACTATATAGCTCAAAGCTCAATTTTGTTTTGTACATCATTCACAACTTTGACAAAAACGGTACTAACATGAGCTCAGAAAATCCGTTGCTCATCCGCTAGAGATTTACCTATAAACCATATTTCGTGAATTTAAACCACGCAAATTTGTTCCAGGAAGCAAAACAGTGAGAAAGTAACTCCGCCAAACTAAGATATTGATTTCCAGGTATGACAAAGGGAGGTAATTATTATTAATAACATAAGCTAAAAGGACTTTTTTTCATAAAAGGTTACTTATTGTTTACTTTCAAAACTGATTGACTATCTATATACTTGTAATGAAATAAACAAAGACACCAAATACCATTTCGGAATGAGAGACTGTTAGAGTTAGCTAAAGCAAACTTTGATAACATCAAACTAACTGTTGCAATTTCTCTGCCTTACAATCATATACACTAATTGAAGCAAACAGAATTGACACGTGCATTTTTTGTCATTTTCCCAATTACTTATTTTTGTGATTATGGTTTGATAAATACCGAGGAATTATATAGATTGTTAAAAAGTGAAAATTATCACCATTCGAAAAATCGAAGCTTCAAAGTATCCATGTGGTTTGAAAATAACTGTAACAGCTTGATATCCAATGTTTTAATTAACCTAGAATCAATAGAGAGTATCATATGTAGGTACGTGGGATATTCTACCCGAGTGTGTTAAATGTGGGTCAGAACCGAGGCTTGCCACAGAAAACAAGCGTATCTGTTGTTGTTCTACAATAGTTACCATAAACAGTATTGTATACCTCTTAACCGAAATGTTGGTAAACATGGGACATATAAAACGCTAATATCACTAAATTTAGCAACATTTCTAGATGCAGTATGCACAAACTAAAGCCATATTTGGAAAGAACAGAAACAAAAATACTGTACACCATAGGTATACCTCAGATGAAAGATCCGTGCGAGACTTTTAGGAGAAACTTGAAAAGGAGAACAATTCTTTAGGTGGTGTCACCGTTATAAGTTTGCCACCGTCCTACAAACGACGTTTTGACGCGTGTTCAATGGAAACGTCACAATAAAACGCTGTCATCTGATTGTGACGGCACAGGTAACTGAGGACTTACCAGTAATAAAGCTATAACAGGCGCGAAGAACACGGGTCCAATATATGCTGCGCCGGTGGTATAGGATGCCATAACTTTAGAATAGCCATGTCTCAACTGGATGTACTGTCTGAAAACACAAAATGTCACATAACCACATCAATGATATAGCTATACTCCATAAGCCGCTAGAGTCGCTTCTGTATAAATATAATCTTCATAATTGACATAATTCATAATAAATTAAAAATGACGTAAACATAAAGATAGAACAGTATTTGGAGTAACTGAATCGCATTTTAATAGTCTGTAAGCTGAACCAGGGCTTTGCTATTTCTAAGCGTGAAAACAAAATAACAGTATACTTCCTTTGAAACATGTAAAGTAGAGTTTGCATGAGGCTCTACATGCACAGTTTAAAAAGCATGAAAGCTTGTTAAACCGTTATAGTATGTTTAATTTAATAGCAACATACTTTTTTCAATTAATTTGTAATTTGAGCAGTTCTTTTATTAATTAATTGATCTCTCATCCTCTGTTACTTTATTATTTGGGCGGTTATCTTATTAATTATCTCATATCGTTAACAGAGTTGGATACCTCTTCTGTACTGGAAACATAACCATTGGATATATATGTATTGCCAAAATCAATGAAACTCCTCATCACTTGCTCAGATTAACCCAACTTCTACCGTCATTGTTTAAATCAACTTAATGGATGATTTGTATTGGTTTCCTGTTGTATAAATCTTGTCTTCTATCATACGAGATGTCCTACCATTTCGCTCTCTGATTTTTACTTAATGAATATTAGTTACATTCTCATTGTAATGTTTATATCACGTTACAATTACACGTCACTTTTGCTTTGTGACGTCACGAGCAGCATGAAGAGGATGTGTAATGGCACCCCGTTGAAAACAATATGTATTTCAAGAATATGGCAGAATACCGAAAAAGAATGAAATATCTATGGCATTCAATAGAACACTATTACCATTTCTATAATAATTTCATATTTGCCAAAGATGTACAAAAATACCAACAACATATTCTACCGACTCAAATCATACTTACGATCCATTGGCTACAAATGAGAAGAATGAACAGAAATGAAATCCAATCATGGATACGTGGATCCAAAACGTCTTAGGGATGTTGGTGATGTCTTTAATTTTCTGAAAATAAGTACGTTGGCGTTGAAAGTAGTGCGAGTAGTGCGAGGTGTCTTCATACAACAGCAGTCCTGTCTATAATTGCTAATGGTCCTCTGTTATACTGAGCTTGGGTAACTTGTACCATTGTTGATCAGAGAGATATAAGGATTCTGTAACGCCTGATTTTGTGAGATATAAATAAACCTTGAAGGTATTTTAAGACAATTTTCAGTGTTACTTTTATTATCGATTGAGAAGATATTTGTTTTCATGAAGTAAGTATTTTGTTAACTACAATTTTCCACGGCTGACCGATGAAATAACAAACATCACATTTAAATGCTAGTTTAAAAACCAATTACATGCATAATTAAGAATGTAAGATAGAATGCATCGTAGCACCATCATACGAATACAATATCGTATTATTTGTCAGATTTGTCATATTATTTAATATGGTTTGATATATGGCACCTACTCCAACGTAAATTACCGTAAGTATACTATGTAAGTATTAAAGCGTTAGTGATGTACCATTGACAATCTTCTGTCAGTCAATACTTACAATAGGCCTACTTGCCATCAGTTTTTGCGATTCATCGTCCAGTTTGTTGGTCCCTCGGACGTCCAGGAAACCCATCACAAAAGCAGCGATGATACCGAGTGAACAAATAACAGCGCCTGAAATAGAAAGACGGTAACAACATCGATGACCAGCTTTAAATTCGTTAAAGATTAATTTTATTGGTTCACTCTTTCGTAATTATACACGCTCTTGTATTATTTCTAAGAAATGACGATTATTTTTGCTGTATATATTATTTTCGGAAATATAATTTTTACCGCAAAATATCGTTTACATTGACAGTACATGTAGACGTTTATATAAATTTTGAAATGTCTTCTTCCATGTAATTTGTTCAATTTCCACAAAGAACCCCACAAATATTATACTTGACGTAATATTTCTATCCATTTTCAATTCATAAAAAGGAAAGCATGATAGCATGCATGATTCAAAATAAAGATGAATAAATTGAATGAAGTGATTTTATGATTCTAATATTTACCAATACTTCATTCACTTACCAATCCACAGGGCCCAAGTGAAGCCCAAATGGACAGCTATGTTAGCGGTTAATAGGAAATTAAGCAGTGTTCCACCTCTACGTGTTAGGATGACCAAACTGACAGCTAGGACGGAGTCTTCAGCAAACCAGTGAGCTACCACACGATCCTGTACAACTACAAATAAAATTTATAATAATAATGATTCGAGAATCTTATATACCTCTTTATCACAACCTAGTTCGTAGGTCGTCTCAAAGCGGTTCACAAGTTAGTATCCATGGTTATAGGGCCTTTGCAACAACCCATTATCTTTCTCAACTAACTGGGGATCATACAGCTGGTGCTGCCATTTCGGCGCTCACAGATAGCATTCAACCATTCTAGTACTGTTCAACAACGTGCTCATTTACAACTGAGTAGACTGGAACAAATGGAGTAAGATAATTGCTCAAGGAAACAATACAGTGCCATGACTCGCATCCGCAACCCTTAGGTCACGAGACCGGCGTCCTACCACTAGACTACTCTTTACAAAGCAACATCATTTTATACAGTACACAGCTACACTATCTAGCAGGAAAAGGAGGGAGATTTTCAATACTTAAATACATGTATAGCATATACAGAAGAAGGTACTTCTTGCAAAGAATGATGATTTTAGTATTGAAGGATTAACTTGAATATGTTTTTTTATGTTATGGAAATATAACACCACGTTATGTTATGTGTTGATAACATAATTGTATAAGGCAATGAAAATGCTTGTTACAAGCAAGATTAAATTATATGTGTATCACACAACAGTTTTCCAAATTTTGTTAATGAATGAAACATATAAAGAGAAATAATTTGTGATAATCTCTGACCCCGTATGTAGGTAACATGAACTTTTCCTTTCCTTGGCAGGTTGTATCCAAGTTAATATCAGTTGTTGGCTTCCCATGTGGTTACAGCAAAAAATACCGTATATGAATTTATCAAGTACGAACATACCCTGTCTCTAGCACACATACACACATCCACGCATCCACAACATACACGGAGGCACGTCCTTAAATGACATAAGCTGTTAATAGGTCGTTAAACAAAATAAAACTAAACCAGGTCGCTCAAATAAATCACGTGACGCTCAAATTCATATTTTGGGAAATACATAATTAGTTGCTATCTTGTTTAGAAGGAAAGCATTGCATTTTATGTGTAAGATACGTTATGTTAAGTTTTCGAGAAATATGTCAATTTTAGGGAAATATGCATTCATGTCTCCTTCATATAAAGGCAATGCATGTATGTTATCTTCTCATAAAGATAAATTGGTCTTATTCACCAATACCAATATATCATTGATTATACAGGTTTCATGAAAGTAACATCGGTTCATATTGGCTGTCAGGTTTCAATATTTCCCTTGTATTTGGTTCGAGAAATATAGAATAAGATAAAGGTAAGATCATCCTCGGTTTCGCCTGGGAAAACAGAAAATACAAACAAGAAATTCATACATAAGTCCAGAGTACCTGCATTAAAGCTATACACCTATCACGATAAAATCAGGATACCGCAAAACCTATGAAATACATCTCGATTAAAATTGAAATTGTCAGAGATGGACAAGGAAGCGTCGTGATTTGTTATCGCCTTTTTCATGTTTATATTACCACGGCGCATGCGTTCATGTTTACCTTCCTGCTAGCAATAAACAAAACCATAGTAGAGAGATTGACCAACGAAAGTCCTCTGAATGTTCTTATAATATATATATAATCCAGAGCATGATAAGGCTTACTTCTCATCGGCCCATCTCCAAATCCGAGTAGCATCCGTCCGATTATCATCAAAGGGAACATGGCAGAGGTGTTCCGAAGGAGCTGAGTACCAGCAATAGCAAACAGATTAGACCCAAGGGATGTCAAAATAATGATCAACACAGCAGATACTAAAACATATAAAAAAATATTACATATATGCAATATAAACCTATAAGTCATGGATTAAGTTGTTAAAAAAAAAAATATGCATCATCAGTTATTCAAATTCATTAAATTTTCATAAATTTGAAGATTTTGATTTAAGAAAGGATGCATTTATAATAATAAATGTGCCTGAATAAATATTCATGACATATTAAACTCGCGAAAGGCTGTCAAGAATTAACGGGGAAATAGATATTTCGTGAAAAGACTGTAAAGTGTTAACGGGGAAATAGATATATCGTGAGAGGCTGTCAAGGGTTAACGGGGAAATAGATATATCGTGAAAAGGCTGTCAAGGGTTCACGGGGAAATTGATATATCGTGAAAAGGCTGTCAAGGGTTAACGGGGAAATAGATATATCGTGAGAGGCTGTCAAGGGTTAACGAGGAAATAGATATATCGTGAAAAGGCTGTCAAGGGTGCACGGGGAAATTGATATATCGTGAAAAGGCTGTCAATGGTAAACGGGGAAATAGATATATCGTGAAAAGGCTGTCAAGGGATCACGGGGAAATTGATATATCGTGAAAAGGCTGTCAAGGGTTAACGGAGAAATAGATATATCGTGAAAAGGCTGTCAAGGGATCACGGGGAAATTGATATATCGTGAAAAGGCTGTCAATGGTAAACGGGGAAATAGATATATCGTGAAAAGGCTGTCAAAGGTTAACGGGGAAATTGATATTTCGTGAAAAGGCTGTCAAGGGTTAACGGGGAAATATATATATCGTGAAAAGGCTGTCAAGGGTTAACGGGGAAATAGATATATCGTGAAAAGGCTGTCAAAGGTTAACGGGGAAATAGATGAATCGTGAAAAGGCTGTCAAAGGTTAACGGGGAAATTGATATTTCGTGAAAAGGCTGTCAAGGGTTAACGGGGAAATAGATATATTGTGAGAGACTGTCAAGGGTTAACGGGGAAATAGATATATGGTGAAAAGGCTGTCAAGGGTTAACGGGGGAAATAGATGTATCGTGAAAGGCTGTCAAAGGTTAACGGGGAAATAGATATATCGTGAAAAGGCTGTCAAGGGTTAACGGGGGAAATAGATGTATCGTGAAAGGCTGTCAAAGGTTAACGGGGAAATTGATATATTGTGAGAGACTGTCAAGGGTTAACGGGGAAATAGATATATCGTGAAAAGCCTGTCAAGGGTTAACGGGGAAATAGATATTTCGTGAAAAGGCTGCCAAGGGTTAACGGGGAAATAGATATATCGTGAAAGGGCTGTCAAGGGTTAACGGGGAAATATATATATCGTGAAAAGGCTGTCAAGGGTTAGCGGGGAAATTGATATATCGTGAAAAGGCTGTCAATGGTAAACGGGGAAATAGATATATCGTGAAAAGCCTGTCAAGGGTTAACGGGGAAATAGATATATCGTGAAAAGCCTGTCAAGGGTTAACGGGGAAATAGATATATCGTGAAAGGGCTGTCAAGGGTTAACGGGGAAATATATATATCGTGAAAAGGCTGTCAAAGGTTAACGGGGAAATAGATGTATCGTGAAAAGGCTGTCAAGGGTTAACGGGGAAATATATATATCGCGAAAAGGCTGTCAAAGGTTAACGGGGAAACAGATATATCGTGAAAGGCTGTCAAAGGTTAACGGGGAAATAGATATATCGTGAAAAGGCTGTCAAGGGTTAACGGGGAAATAAATATATCGTGAAAAGGCTGTTAAGGGTTAACGGGGAAAAAGATATATCGTGAAAGGGCTGTCAAAGGTTAACGGGGAAATTGATATATCTTCGTGAAAAGGCTGTCAAGGATTGACGGGGAAATAGATATATCGTGAAAATGCTGTCGAGGATTAACGGGGAAATAGATATATCGTGAAAAGAAATCTTCCTGCAGTTTGTTGTTTACACATCTGTTTGATAACGTGTGCAACTTTTGTAATAAAGTAATGTCTTATATGTACATACCTCGATTACCTATCCTGTCAATACAGTATCCTGATAAAAGAGATAATACAGAAGATCTGAAAAGCAGAAGAAGAATATTATACAGTTATAGAATAGGTATGAGGGATATAGCACATTTATGGTCCCCCGAGGTGAAAAACTATTTTACCGAGGCGCCGAAGCTGCGAGGGGAATAGTTTTTCACCAAGGGTGACCATAAATTTGCTATTTCCCGAATTACCCATTCTATAACTGTTTTATTATAACGAAACAAATTATTCACCCAGTAAAGGCAACAAATGAAATTATTTATTCATTTCCTTTTACAATTTCTGACTGAGAGAGAAAAAAATACAACTGGAAGTACCGTATGCATCGTCGTTGATGATATCTTCATTTCTAGCATTCAAGAAGTGTTTTTATAGACTGAATCTCATAGTCACCATTGTTTTCCTACCATAACTAGATCTAGTCCTATCCTGGGGTTTTTTAAAAGAGCTTGCATGACGCTACTCGTCGACGCTTCCGCAATCCGTTCTGTTAAATAAGATTGAAGAGAATTCACTGCAGTCTTTATAACAGCTTTTGTATTTAAGCTACGTTTAGCGTCCAAAATCTGCTGTAACTCCTCTTTACAACAAAACGGCCTTCAGCGGTGGCCATTTTCACTGTTGTCATTTGGTTCTGAAAATGTGACGTCACGAGCGTAACGGTGAAGGCCCCGCCTACCAATGTTTTCATTGGTTGAAATCTTATAAGCTCCGCCTACCAATGTTTTCATTGGTTGAAATCTAATAAGCTCCACCTACAAATATTCATGAGGGAGTAGTCCTCTTTCTGGCAGGGAGTAGTCCTTTTTTGCAGGGAGTAGTCCTAATTTGGGGAGGGAGTAGCTCTCAGATGGAGATATTTTAGTGATTTAAGGGAAATAGCATTATTAGCAAAGACGCATCTGAAAAATATGTAAAAAAAAGAGGTATAATATGAGACAATATTACCCTAATAATACGAGTTCCTTACTTGTGATCTAGTTTTACAACAAGAGGTCAATTAAGATAGTTGCGGTGAATAATTTGAAACATATTTACAATCATATTTGTCCTGATGCTTGGATTATTTTCAGATATAATATATTAATAAAATGTGTAAAAAAGAAACATTTCACTAATACTGTAAACAAAAGGAATATTAACCCGGTTAGATTTTTTTTACCCTATTTTGCTTAAGGATGTACTCTTCTGAGGTTTCAATCACGTTCAAGTCCCGTTTTGATCTGGTGTAACGGGTTTTGTAATATTTAACAAATTATGATCAAGTTTATTAGCAAAGACGCATCTGAAAAATATGTAAAAAAACTAGATGCCTGTTGTTTGTAGAACTTTTTTTACAAGAATTTAAAACAATTACCAATTCGGCGGCCATTTTGAAAATGTGTATTAATGTGTATTTCTTGCGCTTCAAAAAAGGCAAAAAAATACGTTTTTTTACACTAGATCGATCACTTAAGTTGTCATTGTGTCGCCATTTTTAATTGTAGCAGGTTCAATTTTGCTGTACAACTTTATACAGTTTAATATGATAAAAAATAATATGCAACAAACTGGAATATTATCCATTATTGATAAAAAAAAAAATACATATTTAGTGTAACTGATGCACTTTTGATTTTTGACCCCGAAAGAGGTAAAAAAATAAATACACAAATGATAATGGGACACACAAAAAAGCACATGGACCCCCCAATTTGTGTGGAAGTTTTAGAAAGAGAAACACATTTTCTTTTAATTTAATAAATATTGAAAAAGGTTTAATAGCAGAACTTTTTAAAAGAGTTAAAAGAGTAAGATTAAGAAATTTTATTTCCATAATTTAAAAGAAAATATTATTTTCATCAAATCTTTAAACACTCTTACATATCTGATAACACACTTGGAAGAAAATGTATGAATTTGTTCTGCAAATGATCAAAACCAAAAATATCACCTAAAATCACATGTTGTGTTAAATTGGTATATCTGACCGATCATAGCACAAAAACGAACACACGGAGATATAGTTTTTTGGTATTTTCAACCATGCCATTAACTCCTTTTTCCAAAAATCTATATTAGAAAAAAAGTTTAATACAGGATTGTTTTGACTTCTCAAAGGTGTACATCCTTTAAAATATCTCTGATAAAGCGGAAATGTGGAAATGCATTGTATTGTAAATGAAAAAGTTTGTTAAACGATACTGTATTAAAAAATCAGAAACATTTTTGCGGTTTTCGAACTATTTATTTATTGCCGACATTGCAATTATATGACTTGAAATTGCACTTTATGATAAATAAACTACCGCTCAAAACATAATTTCAAACTGAAAATCATATAACAATTCAAAGGCCGTATATATATATAACTGAAACGTTTGACCCGCACAAAGGCCGTATATATATATTTTACTGAAACGTTTGACCCCCACAAAGGCCATATATATATATAACTGAAACGTTTGACCCGCGCAAAGGCCGTATATATATGTTACTGAAACGTTTGACGCGCACAAAGGGTGTATATATATAAATAAGGGGGACGTTTGACCCGCACAAAGGGTGTATATATATAAATAAGGGGCACGTTTGACCCGCACAAGGGCCGTATATATATATTTTACTGAAACGTTTGACGCGCACAAAGGGTGTATATATATAAATAAGGGAAACGTTTGACCCGCAGAAAGGCGGTATATATATATTACTGACACGGTTGACCCGCACAAAGGCCGTATATAGATATATTACTGAAACGTTTGACCCGCACAAAGGCCGTATATATATATAACTGAAATTTTTGACCCGCACAAAGGCCGTATATATATTACTGAAACGTTTGACCCGCACAAAGGCTGTATATATATAAATAAGGGGAACGTTTGACCCGCACAAAGGCCGTATATATATGTTACTGAAACGTTTGACCCGCACAAAGGCCGTATGTATATATTACTGAAACGTTTGACCCGCACAAAGGCCGTATATATATATTACTGAAACGTTTGACCCGCACACGTTTGACCCGCACAAAGGCCGTTTATAATATTACTGAAACGTTTGACCCGCACAAAGGCCGTATATATATATTCCTGAAACATTTGACCCGCACAAAGGCTATATATATATATTACTGAAACGTTTGACCCTCACAAAGGCCGTATATATATATTACTGAAACGTTTGACCCGCACAAAGGCGTATATAATATTACTGAAACGTTTGACCCGCACAAAGGCCGTATGTATATATTACTGAAACGTTTGACCCGCACAAAGGCTGTATATATATAAATAAGGGAAACGTTTGACCCGCACAAAGGCCGTTTATAATATTACTGAAACGTTTGAACCGCACAAAGGCCGTATATATATATTACTGAAACGTTTGACCCGCACACGTTTGACCCGCACAAAGGCCGTTTATAATATTACTGAAACGTTTGACCCGCACAAAGGCCGTATATATATATTTTACTGAAACGTTTGACCCGCACAAAGGCCGTTTATATATACTACTGAAACGTTTGACCCGCACAAAGGCTGTATATATATAAATAATGGAAACGTTTGACCCGCACAAAGGTTGTATATATATATATATATTACTGAAACGTTTGACCCGCACAAAGGCCGTATATGTATATTACTGAAACTTTTGACCCGCACAAAGGCCGTATATATATATATATTACTGAAACGTTTGACCCGCACAAAGGCCGTATATATATATTCCTGAAACATTTGACCCGCACAAAGGCTATATATATATATTACTGAAACGTTTGACCCTCACAAAGGCCGTATATATATATTACTGAAACGTTTGACCCGCACAAAGGCCGTATATATATATTACTGAAACGTTTGACCCGCACATGTTTTAAAAATAAGATTTTAACTTATTTCATTTTCAAGCTACCTACTGGCGACAAAATCAGGAATGAAAACAAAAATTGAAAAATGCATTTTATTCCCCTATAATAATGCATCTTTCACCGTAACATGTTTTACTGGACAACTCATTGAGTTTTACTAGTCCGAGAGTAAGTTATTCGCATGATCAGCATATTTTTTTTACCAGCAAAGCTTCACAAAAATTCTGTTATTTAAGTGAAATTCTTTGCTCCAGTTTTCTTTTCCATTCGAAGCCATTGGTGTAACATTGTCAAGAATGTTTTCTTTAACTTCAACGATGGGTTGAATGTTTGTGATACTGAGGAAGGATTTATTCCTCATATGTTCTTTAATTAAGTTAAGAGCTGAAGATCGACATTCTTACAAACAAAAGCCTAATGCAAATCTAATTTACATGCTTTCTCCCGACATATTTGTTATAGCTTTCGGATAAATGGCCAAGCGCAGATAACATTTAACATCAGATCCATCTCTACTGTAAATAGACATTGAAACAAAGGGGGAAACGTCTCAAAACGCCGCAGCGAAGTAATGTTTGTGCGCAACAATGATATGGTATATGATAAGCATCTAAAATATGGTACCGCTAAATGTTTGAAACTGAAATCTGATGGGTTTCAAGTGTATCCATATAACAAAATAAGACCTGTTTCAATATCAGTTGTTAAAATAGTTTTAGAAAATGAAAATATGAAAGAAGTTTTGAGCGAGTTTACGACTTGTTTGGTGGTCATACATACGTCCAGTAGAGGAAAGAGTGAAGTAGGTTATAACGTTGTGGCCCTAGGCCAAGACAGGTGTCACAGCACCCGCCGGTCTCCATGCTCTCGTTGCCATGGCAATGCATCTCCTGAAAACACAACAGATGTTACATTTTACTAAATCCCAATTTTTGTATGTTATGTCTATGCTTATGCATGCTTCTCACTTTTGAACTGCTTACGAATTGGTACTTTTCTGGTACTATATAGTTTGGGGGGGTTTTTCTCAATCTTTCCCATGGTTTTTCATTCCACGAGTACATCATTCGCATAACTATTGCAAAACACTGTTCGTGTAGTTGATGAAAAAGTGTTTAGGTTTTCAATGTATAATGGAAGAGATTCAGATACCACGATGTTGTCCTGACTAGTCGACTGTAAGACCAAACAAATCTGGTGTAGTGATTACATACGGTTAATGCCTGAGATACTAGTAGAGTATATGATATGTAGGCATTGGGAAGGATATGGAAATTCTATTCGAGAGGAGAATTGCCCTATCCCCACACCTACATAACAACGGAATATTTACCCAACCTTTTACTCAGTAAACATCAAAACTGACGTTAGATAATGTAACCATAAATACAGAAAAAATGTCTAAATAATATGTATGTAAATCAAAAATATACTGTGAAAGAGTAGAAAAGGTGTGTGTGGTATGCTTAAAATTACGGTACTGTGCTGCACAATCTGTTTTCAAACAATTTATTTGACTGGCGGATAACTTTCGGCTGATAAAAATGCTTATTTGTAAGGCTAAGTTTCAGACCGCCAGCTGATAAGGAGCTCAACCATTTGTATAAAATGTTTCTGATATTCTCGGACATTAAGAATATTTCTAAATCTTGGCCATTTTGAGATTGTTTACGCCTTGATCATGAACAAAGGAAACCGATTTTGGGTCTAAAAGTCTAAGAAAGATTCTGTGATGTACGTTTTACATATCAAGCTGCTTACCTCGCCTGCCACAAAATCCACCTGTAAAGAGCTCGGCATGTCGACACAGAAGTACACTCCAAACACAAGTACACAGTCGCAAAACAAGATGGCGTAACGCCATTTCCCTGCAAGAAACATTTAAAATAAATGTCACATTTATCCAGTTTCATTATTTAGTATTTTTGGGGTTTTTTTAATACTGTATATGAACAATTGTTCTTCGTATTTATGGAATAAACTTATGACTACTGGGGGGAACACACTGAAGATTAGTACACAGATATTGTTTGGCGTGTTCAGATTCCTGGTAGATATACTACTAACAGGTAGATGTCATCTCGGGTGCAATTAGGGGTTATGCTATGCGTTGATATCAGTCGCTCTGATGTGATAAATATGTTATATGTGTTAATATCATACAATATGGATGATATGTCTTAACATCCCGTTGTACCGTAAAGTTGAGTGATATGTGTAAACATCACACCTGATGCGATTAATGTGTGTGATATTAGAAAACATAACGATAAAGGAGTATGATATATGGTGTGATAAATATTTGTGATACAGTTTGATGTCAACACGCTGGCGTGTTAAGACAGAGGAGGGATCCATTAAAATGTGATACTTTATTCCATAACGGTTGATATTAGGATTTATGATAGTGATATTTTTAAATATAAATATTTGGTACATTCTGTACAACGAATTTTTCCGAGTCTAAATCAGCTCCAACGTGTATTACCCCTTTCACAGGACCACACCGTTATCGTACACCTTCCACTCCGTATTAGCCCTCGACAAACAGAAGTCCCCGGGCTCATGGCCCCAAACTGATATTAGGACAACGGGATGATATGGGTTATAAAATTTAAAATATAGATATATTATATGCTCCATAAATCTAATAATAAAATTAGCGTATAACATACATTTGGACTAGTCTGTATTAATACACTTATTACAAGGCGTATGGCTATGGGGGCAGCAGCACGTTTCTCGAACCCGAGGCTGAAGCTGTTTCCTGACTATAATAATAATATTTCATCTCGTTTAAACTGTGTATGAACTTATAATGATATTTGTAACATATTGTTGAAACTTATTCCATGTTAGCCCTTGTCCTAGGGTAGATATTGGTTAGGACTGATACGAGATGACTCCGCACGAAGATTGATTTACCAATTGACACTTTCTATATTTCACAGCAACATATATACGTACAGCAGACACCTGCTTCACTTATAAACTTCGCCTGGAGCAGTCTTACTAATCGAAATGACATGGTAACGACACCTGTGGATCTATAGACATGCACATTAGCTTAAATGTGTAGAAATGTACAACATTCTTTACCGAACACGCACGTGTTGTCGTGTGTAACTGTCACATGTACATAAACAAATCGAGTCACTAACTGTATATTGTCCTTGATCTGGATAGGGGTAAGCTCTCCCTCCGCCCCTAACTAGAATGAAATACTGTTCTCAGATTCTGAATGAAATCCCTCTTTAGGAAATGTTAAGGGCGCAGAATATAACATCAACATTCCCAATTAGATCATTGAATTTACCTTTCCATCATTTTTTTCGAAATGTTCAACCGGCCATAGTTTCCATATCCCTAGCACCATTTGATAACAAACTATTTGGAGCAAAGATTCAGTTTTTCAACAGATACATTTTTACGTGTATATTTTTGGCATATGGAAACTTCCCTGCTTTCATTGCTTAAAATAGTTAAAAAAAAAAAAGCGTCTCAACAGGGGGGATAATGATAACTTAATTGTGACGTGTTTATGTAAATAACACTCTTAGTTTACCACATACATTTGATTATTTGTAAATTATTTGTAAAATTATTGCTTTTAAAAAATGTTGCAATTAATTTACCTTTTCGCCCATAACTTGACGTTTGTTTTTGCCAGCTATAGTGCATATCTGCTTTGTACGATATTTTTATTGATTCATATATATATCATTTTTGATGATTTCTAAATAATGAAGACACAATTTTCTTTCTATTGGTTTTTGTTCAATTAAATGTGTTAAAAAGTTAATAGAATAAATATACCGCTTATCCGTTATTTAAATACCATTTTTTATGAACTAGACTGTTCCTGTAGCGCACTAAGTCCCCTACCGTCAATTTCCTGTATCAGTTATACTGACAGAAGCTTTCGCTGAGGTTTATCTAGTATTATCTATCTATCTCTATACTTAGACATATTTTCCAGAGGATTTCAATATATTGAGGATCATTGTTCAGTGACAATTTTGCTTTTGTTGATTGGGCTGACACAATAGCTGGTGTTCCCTAAGGGACGGCTCTTGGTCCACTGTTGATAAAAATAGGATAATAGCGTGTGTTCCTTAAAGTTAGTTATAATACAACCTCTAATTAAACTAGCACAATAGCCGGTGTCCCCAAGGGAACGGTTTATGATTCACTGTTGTTTAAACAGACATAATGACCGGTTTTCCCTAAGGGTTGGTTCTTGGTCTTATGGGTTTTTTTGTTACTAAACGTGTCGATATTTTAGTCGCCTCGACCAATATATCCATTATATACGACAATTGTTCAATACACAATCCATATAATACCCCACTTTCGTTACATCTATTTTGATTTAATATCATCTTTAACAAGAAACTATATGTTTCTATGTGTTAGCCTGGATATTTCAAAGATCAATGTGATGATCCTAGACACAAAGACATAGACACTTTCACTGCAACTCATTAGAATTGAAATATTCAAACATATATAAACTGTAACAGAAATGAATAATGTATTTGTGAAATTATGTTTATCCTTGTGATATAAATGAATAATGATCAACTCATGAGCTACAAAACAAATCCTGTATTTGATGGTTCACAATGTGTCAAAAAACAAGATTGTGTCATTTGACAACGTAAGAATTGACGACAACAGGGCAGAGTTAATTACACAACCTATCACTCTACACCCCAAACTCTCTATTTTTATTTGCATTTTATGTTTTTATCAATTTTGAGGGGCTGTCGTTAAGTTGAAAAGATGTCATCCACAACTAAGTATATGTAATACGGAGGGATTTAGAAAACATCAGTAGAAAATAAAAGACAACTTTAACAAACATAGAAAGAATGCATCAAACAATAGTCAGAATCAACGTCGTAGAAATTCTTTGTGATGACAATGCATTGTATACTCGATTCCATTATATTTGCGTTGAAATGAAAGATCAGACAGAATTGGCGTAACTCATTAATATAATACGAAAATTATGGGATATAAAAACTACTGCATTTGTTGGCTTTCCTTTACATTTATTTCCAAGATTATTTCATAGAATTTAAACCGTAAAGTTTTCAGCAATGTTACAGTTACACCAATGATGGTATTATCCCTAATTTAACGCCAGCGAATTCATTTTGCAAAATTCTTTAAAATAAATGATAAAAATACTTACATTCGTGAGGTTTCATACTGTTCTACGTTCTATGTGACGTCAGTAACAGAAGTTCATTGATGTATTTCCTGTAAAATAAAAATAGGCCTTCAAAAAGCTTTTCCAACTACGTAACCCATCTGTCATAACTTTGATGTCGTGATATATTTACATTTTGATATTATTCTGGCGCTGTATCCGAACAGTTTGTGTTTGTAATGTATACTTCCTTTCGGAAACTGATATCCGCCTAATGCATGTCCCACGTGCAACACTATACATCCCGTGTCAGTTTCTCTGTGTATTACAATCTCCCTGGGCAATCAATATGAAGTATTTGCTACCGTATACTGGGTTGTATACGTGTAGATTCAATACACCATAGTTGGAAGCGCTGTTCACCATCATTTTATTGTATGTACTAATTGAACCTATAACAGGTCTTAATTTACATGAAAACTGTTGGTCTGTTCCAAAAGATATAACTAACCATACCAACTCTTAATGTCTAAATAGACATTTTAACATGTTGTAAACGACAACTGCCGGTCCTAATATGTAATAAGAATAGTTCTTCATTCAAATATATAATATTTAGTGTAACTGTCTTGTTTGAAGAGTAAGTAGGTCAAACAAATGAAAAGTTATACGTGGTCACTCTAGTTGTAATCTGTTCTTTCGATGAATTAAGGTTACAAATTTGTTTCATAGTCGGATCCAGGGTCTGTATTCATAGAATTGTTCTCATGTTCACAAGCATGGATTCTGTGTTCAAACCAACATTCATATAACTTGCTTAAAACAAATGAAATGGTCACAATGAAAATGGTATTCGGCTTTAAGTCCAAAACATTTGCCAAATCATTGACAAGATATTTTATTAATCTCTCACCAGACCGGGAAATTGAGCTTGAGCACAAAATATATGTTTGAACATGACAGGGGTTTTATGAATGCATGCCCTGGGTTGAAACAAAATGCTACATATAAGCAAATACCTTACCTAAGGTATTAACGTAGGCAAAGATAGCTACGCATCTGGTAAGCATATTACTGGACATCTATCAATTTATTGTTATCAAACAAAGAGTTATGAAGGTGTTTTATTGCGTCCTCAGATTGACCTCTTCCGTCGATATAAAATGGGTCGGATTCAACCTGACCTGGGCACATATAGTTCACTGTCATTCACTCACATTTTGCTCAAATGTATCGATTACGAGACTTGCAAATCACACGCATCGTAACAATTAACGACGTTATACAATAAGCGTTCATTCAAATAATCAAGCACAGAGTCAATACCCAAGGACCAAATAAGAACTCAAACAACAGGAATTGACAAGCAATCAAAATAAAAGAAGCTATTTTGAACCTTCATAGAAACCAGGAGTGGAAACCAAGTGTTATGAAAACCTGACCAGCACCACATGTGGTAGCCGTCATAATGTCACAAATACCAGGAAATTTCCTCAGCGTAGATCGAACACTTTCATGTTGAAACCCCTGACTAAGTACATGTAGCCTATTAATCAACAGGACGCATCTATCCAGAAATCTCTAATACTTTGAACAAATCAAAGTGGGACGTATAAACTCCGCTATGTCTCATCAGAATATCACATGAACACATCAAGTAGTTTAAGCATTTCAGATTCATTTTAAAAAAAAACATCGATTACAATTTTTTGAGTTCGTTATAAAATGTTAACTTTTAAAAAGTGGACTAAATATTAGTCATGTAATCTTAGAATTGGGATCACTCTTTCCTGACTAAAATTCATTTTTATAAAAAAATCAATCAATCAAAAGTAAGAAAAATACACACATATCGACATATTTCGTAGTTTCAGTTTTATTCTTCGTATAGTTTCTCAAATTAGTCTTGCATTTAACAATATGTATCCATACATATACCCAACACATTTACCTCGCCAGCTGTTACTGTAACAATTTGTAACATTATATACTAGTCTAACCATATGTATACAATATATTTGCCCGCATGCATTAACATCCTGGTACAAGTAATGTAATGTCTGTCAAAGATGTTTAAAAATACACCGAGGCTTAATGTCGTAATGATACATTATGGTAATACATAAATCACTAATATTTTTATGGTAATACATAAATCACTAATATTTTTATGTTTATGAAAACTATAAAAATTTCAAAACAATCACCCCAAGATTATATGCACAAAAAGCTCATATTTTCTGTCAACACTTTTCCAAAAACGTGAAAATTGAAAGTTTTACTTAACGTATCATATAATTTTATTCGTTTGATTGAAATGAATTAGGATGAGATTGTTTTCTCCGATACCGGAGTGACGTCACGAAGTGAGCAGTGTTTCGGGTGTATATACCTGTGGAGCTCGTGCGGGTGGTCATTCAGCGAGACCACGTACACGGGTACACACACCGGTATACCCGTACACTGTTAGTTTCTGGTTTTTGGAAAATTTAAAGATATCATACAAAGATGAAGTATAATTTGATTTTTTGAAAGGGAGGACGCGGATAAGATATTTGAGAAATGGTTATTTGTGATGTGTGGTTTTGTAGTTGGTGAAGGTGAGTTATTGTGTAATAAACTAACGCGCGTGGTCGAGCCCGTTGCACTTTATTAATGTTTTTGTCTTATTTGTTAAAGTGACGTTTTAACGGAACGACGTTTTGGTCGGAGAAATGTTTTATCCAACAATCAATATGAAGACCAAGTTTTGAAGCAGATTTGTTTCCAATCCATTAACCGAAACATGAGTAGTTATAATGTTATCAAGCGGTGATCATTTTTATATCTTTTAACACATGTTATTAGTTTAAATTGTGTATATAATAAAAATACCAGTTACATGTATCTAAATTATATTATAATGTTGTATTTAAGTGATAAAGATATATCATATATATGTAATTATATGAAATATGTGCAAAATAACAGATCAGAATCAATATAGATATATGATTATATCTCAACACAGCTGCGTGGTGACTTGAATATACTGGTAAAGTGTGTTAATCTTGGTGAAATATCACTTTTTTGTTATAATATAAAACATTAAAACATGATAAGAATACGTTTTATTAAAACTCTTCTTATATACAACTTCAGAGTACATAATTGATATATTCTATACAAAAACAAATGTAAAATGTAAATGTACATCATTAAGTGTACAAGTGATCATAAACAGTTTGCATTGTCAATGAGGAGACTATGATACACCAATACACAATATAATAGATGCGAAATACCTGTCTTCATTTTGGCAGCAGGGTTTCAAATTTTACAACGCATATAAATCAACGATGATACTTTTTTGTGTTACCCTATACATTCTAAAGGTACATATTTAAATAACATCATTTGCAAAATAGATAATAGAAAGATATAAAACCTGACTCCAGCCGTACATCTAGCCAGTATTGTCGCTGTACGTCGTGTTCCGCTCTGATTCTATATCAGACCTGTTTATCCCTAACGTCATTACGGTTTCATCTTGTTTAGTTTAGTCAGTCTGTTTAAGTAATATGACACGCCTCAATACCAGACTCTCAACTATTTACAGGATGGAAACATTTTTATTTTATTTTTGCATTTACATGTATTCCCTTTAGTTTTCAGATAGCTTCTGACTCATTTGAAATGAATATGAAAGCTTTATTTTAAATTATGAATAGACAACACTGTTAATACCTCCTCTTTAAAGGGAATTAATCGGGCAATATACAAGCATCTACCATTCCATGGCACTGCTACTATATACAACCATGGCCAGTTAACACAGCATTCATATCAACTTTGAATTTTTACCTTCCTAATCTAAAAGATGATTTTTCATGAACAAATGGAGTTTCCTATGAGATTGAAATATTCTTTGAAATGGTAAGTATAAGTACTCAAAAACTCTCAGTTGGCAGTCATAGCCAATATAAATGCACATTGAAAAGTGACACATTTAACCTGAAGCACTAGCACGTAGTAAGGTGTCACGTTCCAAATCCTTATGAATGGCATTTTACATCAAAGTATTTCCCTAAATTAGGACATGTCCATGGCTAATTGTGGTGATAGTCCAGTTTGTTGAGCGAGAACAACATGTTGCAGATCGTCAATACGTAAGACGAAAGAACAGACAATTGTACCAGTGATTATCCAAAGTTAGAACATACTTATTATTTTTCTTTGAGTAATAGTCGTTTGTTACCAATAAAAGACTTGAGTTTGACATAGAATTACTTTTGGTTCGCAATGAACATCTTTCGGAACAGCTTTACGTGAACATTATGAAACGTGTGAACATTCCGCAAAGTAGATGCCGACTTTTTCAAAACACCGTTTTCCATAAGTTTAACTACGACATATAGTAACATATAAGAAGTTTCTGTCTCCGAACGCAGTGGCCGTGACGACTAAGAAAGGGGGATATGTCCTATTAATACCAAGGAGGAGTTGTATCTTTCCATATCCATATCTTTCTTGTATGTAATAACTTGTTCCCAATTCCTTGTTCAATGTTTACATACACTAGGGTAATATGGATAGTAATAGAAAACTTTTCGACACGGGTTTACTTTACTCCATCACGAGAGTTAATTTATCATATATCATATCAGTACCATGCCATACCATATTATAGGAATAACATCTGAATGATGATATTATTAATTCTAGGCGAATATGGACTATACCAGTAAATGACGAATAAACAGCATGCTGAAGCAAAAACTAACCGATAAGGCCCGACCCTTTAGCCAAGGGGGTCAGCCTCACTACTTGTACAATTTGAATCCCTGACTACCATGAATGCTTCCAACCCAATATGAATGAAAATATTTGTCATGTTTACATTGCCTAATATACATGTAAAAATGTATCTTATTCATCCCCTATTCTATTTTAACTTTGTTGACAACTAGATACCACAGAAAAATAAAATCTCTATATAAACTTAATGAATTTTTGTACTCACCTGCATGCACTGATGCTTATACATCAAGTGTATGTCTTCTCGTCTTTTGAAAGTTGGAACATAGGTCAACTTAACGTAGAAAGACACGGTCTCTGGAGTTTAAACATTAACTGTAATGATACGTGTATATTCGTTTTCGTTGATTCATACACATCAAACAATGCCTTAATATAAAATCTGTATGGTCTAAACGACGTGCTGTAGTAGGTTGTCTTCTCTGCACTCCCTCCCGTGTGGACTGGTACACAGCACTGTGACGTTGTTAACATATATGTACGAGGTACATTCAACCACATACACAATGGGTTGAATAGGACGGTGAGCATTGTTAGTTTTAAAAACAAATATGATTGTGAATGTTTATGTAAATTTCATTTCTGAAGTATTCTTGTATATAACTTGGTATTCACAACAGGTTGCATAACGAAGTTACAACAGCATATGTTTTGCACGTTTGTATCAATAGCATTGCTCAAGGGACAAAACACAATATTGTATGTAGCGTGAAGATGATCCGCTTTGTTTCATCATGATCCTGTTGATTTGTTAGCTTGACAGAATGTGTTGAATTTTTAATTTCTAAGTTAATGTTTATCTTTTGTAATATTTTTGTTTTGTTGCTATTGTTATTTTTGTACCTAAACAAACATTATGAAATGTGTTCATGAAAATAACACCAACAAAACAGCTTTCAGTTACAGTGACTAATCTAACCGGGCTTTATGATGTATGCCTGATATTAATACAGTAGTCATACTTCGCATTTCTAGTGTTAATATGCGGGTCTCTATAACACCACTACTGATATTGATTCAGCATCAGTGTGTGAGCATATAATTAAATATCGGCATCGCTAAGTTTCACATAATATGTGTACAACTTGCAGGATTAATGCAAATCTGTCTGGTGTTTTACACGTGTCTATTTTAACATCTACATAGAGTCTCCACATCAATAGACCTAGCCACAAGTCCAATAATAGTCCAATAATCAACGACGCCTACTCTGATTGTTTGATCTATTGAGCGATTCCTTAGGGCTAATTATGTCTATCAGGCCTAGACTCAAATCTTAATGTTGTGTTATAAATTCTGTTTGATGTTTAATGATTAACATATTCAAATTTATGCATCCACTCAATCAGTGATTATCTTCTAAAGGTGGTTAAATGCTACATTTGTCACGTATGGGTTGTTTCCTATTTTATGTAACTACTCGTTACCGTATGCAGGCATTCTACCTTGCTGAATACATACATCAACATTCTGAAGCGCCACACTTAAGAAACCAATAGTGCACCTTGATTATTGTTAGAGTGGACTTTGGTTGATTGGTTGATAATTTGATGACACAATTTTTAAGGTCTAAAATACTACATATTTTGTTTATATTGTTTATAAAAGTTTAGAATCCAGATTAAGATATCAAACATTTGATCCAGACAAGTTAATTCTAGTGCTGGATGGAGTCGAGTCTGTTACGGTGTTTGAGAATTCTTTTCTTCCTCTGGTTTAGGACAACTTTGCCGGATTAAACCAGTTAATTGTGCAAGTAACCTTCATTTGATACTTGGGTAGTTAAAGTCATTCCGATGGAAAGGTAGTGTATCGACTTAATACAGCGTGGGATATGCACGCATAGATACAGTTACAATGAAATATACGCAATGCTTTTCATGTAAATTCATAAAATTTTATTATCCGAACATTACAATAACTATTTTGTTCTCAAATGTATATTTCATATACAGGTTGAAAATTATTTATCATGTAATAATCGTTATTCTTTAAGGCATTATTCATCAATTGACTGCTAGCGACAATACTATGTATTTTTATTTTTAAACGGTTTCTGAATGTTTTAGGAAGTGTGCGATTGTAGGATACGTTTAAGGTAACGAGAACTCTTACAGTATTTACTGATTTCCGCTGTGTTCATTATTATGTATTTTTCTATTTTTGTATTGTCATTATTCGAGAAATCATAAAGTCTGAAAATGATTCTATATAGAAGACGAACTTCTGTCAATGTATGCAAATGAATATTTAATTAATAAATCTACTTATGAACAACAATTTATCTTACAATTTATAATACCTGCTGCGTCATACTTAACAGAATATTTTACATCCATTTTATAAATTTCAATATTGCAACTATCGATATGAATATGTGAATCGTATTGTCTTCTTAAAAAATTTCAATATATCGGTGAATCGATACAGTTTACTGTACTTAATTCTCTCTTTGATTTATCCACCACACAACCAGATATCACCCGAGTTTATTGTGACGAGGTAGGTTTAGATATTGTATGTGTCGAATTTGAGTTCTGTATATATGTTATTGTGAGTCGAAGCTGTTGTTTATCGCCTACATAGCATCTCGACGGGTGAGGAAAATTGCCGACACGGATGAAATACTGACACGTGTTATTAGCTTTAAACAGTCTTCCTGTGTTCTGTAACATTCTTACATGCATCAGTAGACCAAGGCAGTGTATGGGGATATTACGGTCATCATTTCACTTTTACTATGACAAAAATTCAAAATAATTTATTTCAGCAATAGACCACTGTGTTTATTTAGCAGGCGTAAAATACTGAAGAAGGTAGTCCTGTGACTTGTGAAAATGATATAAAGATTCACCCAAGCAACTTTCGACAATTTGCATAATCGTGATAAGACGGGATTTTTTATTCATAATTATTCATGTAATTTGCATGTGCTGGGTACAGTTGATATTGTCGGGTCTCTTTATCGTCAATATCTAGAAGGTTATTGAACCTGGGTACAATTTTGTAAAGGGCAAAAATTAGCACAATGAGGGTAGGTCGAAATTAGGCTGTGGCCTTATTCAAGGACAAAATCTACCAGGTAGACAGATTGAATGAAAACAAATATAGTACCGTATTCATGCGAAAAATCCAGCTACTGCCAAACCAACGACCTCTCAAAACTGTCCTGATGACGCATTACCAACTATTCAATGATATTCCGTAACTGAATATCTTGATTGTTTCAGCTATATGACTAAGAAAATGTTTGAAGTTTAGACTAGTAATTCCTCGACATTAGTCAACAAAACACTACATGATATGGCATTTTTTCATATTTTTTTCACACATTTGCCTTAATGAATACAGGGCACCTTTGTAGAAATATCAGATTGGTTTTATGTTTCAGAAAATAATCATCCTGTACGATGATTAATTAAATACATGTAACAGTGCTATTTGATACCATGCAGTTCAATACATATGTTGTAATGAAAATACAGTAATCCAGCTAAAACCAATATGTCCCATATGTTGATATTTTATTTTCATTGAATTACCTGTCTAGTTTATTCATTAAATAAGATACACCTCTTTTGATGTTTTAAACCTACTCTTGATATACACAACTGATGGTGTAACCGCGCGTGAACTGGTTGCACGCCATATTGATGTACAATGTATACCATTTTTACAGGATGTTACTCGCATATACACGTAGATTCGCACACCGGAACGAGTAACATTTGATAATTTCATAGAAATTTGTTATAATATTATAAAATAATTATATCTATTGCACTGTTACCCACCACAAATACGATGAATTGTCAGTAATTATTTTAGAAACTTCTATAACGTTCCAAATAGTTATTTTTTCGTACCGTTTCTCGTCCTCTCATATACCCTTACTTGAGCGCAGGGTTTCCGAACAAGTTTTATGATCGTCATCATTATCTCATAGAGAAATAAGCTTTGTCATTGTGTGATGTGAAAGTCAATGCTTATGGCTATGCTCTTTTTTGTTCCTTGTTATTTTGTCTCCACTCCCCCAGTTCTCGGTTTGAGGACGTGGCATCACTGTATCAGACCTAGATCTAAGTTTCCTTAGTCGCTTTAGGTGTAACAGTTTCCTTAGTCGCTTTAGGTGTAGCTAGAAGCGACCTTAGTTTATTCACTTAAAGTATAACGGGACAGTTTTGAGAGCAACGGGCTTTGCGCTCTCAATAAAACCATTGCTGTCTCTAAAGTTGTCAGGTAATTAGAAACACTCTTTATTTTTAAGAGAACACAAAGAGATTCTTGGAACAGACTTAGAGATTTTTGGTGTAACTGAAAAGTCTCTTAGTACTGAATGTAGGGTTTTGCACTAAGGGTGCCTATGGATACACTTATGAGCTTACTTAACATATTGAACTTGCTGGCTAAGCTGTACATTAAAACATGGCTGCCCTTCTTCATTTGCAAGAACTCATAAATGAAAACATTTCGAGACATCTATTCAGGGACAGAAATAATCCGTTGGATTACTTCAGTGATAGGCAATTATGTATGACTACCGTCTGGACAGAGACTCAAATTACTTACTGTGTGATATAATGCAAAATCCTCTTATTCGGGGTACACAAATAACACTGTCAGTTTCTCTCCAGGGTTATGATACCGCTGTTAAGACTACTGAGTGTGGTATCACTTTCCCGCCTACATCCGTTTGTGTTTTGGGCCTCCTGCTGTCAGCACTTAGACACAGGTGTGTTTATTATAATTTACCTGTACACAAATTTCCACCCAAGTAGGCTACAGGAGTTGATAGAGATTATTTATGTTTATTTTTATCTCATAATTCAATTATGTTCTCTAGATAAATAAAATTCAGCACTGCATAAAAGTGTTGTATAAAATACAATTTGAAACAGATTGTCGGTAGTATGTTGTGGATACAACGCCGTAGTTTGTGATAATACGGTAGGTAAGGGGGGATATTTCAAATATGACATACCTCTTATTGCAGGCACGAACGTTGAAATAGTTTTGTAAATATTTTGTTTACTGAAACATTTCCGTATTTTTGGACCGTAGTGGTACCAGAGTATATAACATTGCAATAGAAATTATCAGGCACAGAAACTGGTAACGAAATGACGCCGTTCAACAACGAAGACAATACTGAATAAGTGAAGGAAAGGAAGAGATTGCAAACTGACTTTCCAGCTAAAATAAAGAATAAAAGAATGTTGATCAACATTATAGAAAGCATTGTTGTTTAATTTCCCTCAAATTCGTTTATTCAGCAAATTTTCCATTAGTCCTCAGAAACTTGTTGCATTGTAATCAATGCTACCAGTCTGTGTTACCTTCTTGGGATTAGTCAGTTTTGGTTTCCATTTAACCCGATGTCTGACAGTTTTTGCTTTGATATGGCTGGATGCCATCTACATATAATGTCATTTACAGCATTTCAGAATTAAAGTAATCGCCATCAGAAAATTAAAAAACACAACAAGTTTTAGTGGTGTTTATACGTGGAAAAAAAGTATTAACTGAACTTTGACTTAAAGTGACGTTAAAACTAATTACACTGGAAACTAGAATTTGTCCCCGACATTTCTGTCCAATATCATGTACGTTCTATCTCTGCTTAAACATCTTACATGTATAGTGTAAAACAGATTTTATTCGTGTCAATAAATATGTACAATTACATAGACATTTCATTCTGTTGATTGGGAAACAAGTACTATTGTACTTATACATAGTCCTTCTCATCATATATAACAAGCTTAGCTTATACTACATGTATTACTTTGCAGTGATAGCCTGAATATGTACACATAAGAAACTGTTACGAAAGAAAGAGAGAACATGATTTTAGGAATAAAGAAAGTAACTGATGGGAGTTTTAAAGGGTCGGGTGGGTAGTTAACTTTACATGGTAAGTTAATGCAGTTAAGTTCTAATTGCTTGTAAATCTTGTTGTTGATTTGATAAAATTTTGAGTAGCTATAGAAAAAGTTACATTTTGATCATACGTTATTCATGCATCACCAAACAGTAATACATCAACACTTAATTGGTAAGGCAAAGGAGTCAAGTATCTTTGGCGTGATTTAATGTGATTAGTACAAGACAACAAATAATGGGAGCTGTCTTCTACAAAATATCTACATGAACATAAGGGATTGTCAACAAGAGTTCTTACAAAAAGATGGCGTTTTAAAGAACTGCATTTGAGACGTAGTCTAGTATGATATGCAATGTATTTGATATTGTCTCGATCCTACATAATAATA